GTACCTGTGTACGCGGATAGGGCATGACCTGTCACCCATGTTTAGCATCTAAGCGGGCGTAAAACAGGGTTGTGTCATGTCTTCCTGGCTGTTCATACTGTATCTCGACAGCTGTTTTAAGAAGCTGAAAAATAGCTGTTTGGGTGTGAAATTGGGTGACATTAAAGTTAATTGTCTGCTGTATGCTGATGATGCAGTGCTTATTGCACCATCAGAAGTAGAACTTCAGGCATTAGTCACGTGTATGAAAGAGGAATGTGAAATTAAAGGTCTCCGTTTGAATGCTAATAAAACTAAGGTTCTGGTATTTGAAAAGGACGAAGAGAGAACGAAATTTGAAATATGGGTAAATCAGGAATGTCTAGAACAGGTAAATGAAATTGTATACTTGGGGAGTGCTTTCAGCCGGGATGGAAGATGTGATTTAGATGTGGACAGGCGTGTCGCTGACGGGAACAAAGTCAATGGTGCCCTGAATGCGTTAGTCAAAAGTCAAGGCGTAGTGAAGAGTGCACGCCTTGCAATACATAACGCAGTGTTGGTGCCGACTTTGTTATATGGCAGCGAAACCTGGGTATAAAATGTGCGGCGTTACCATAGCCGACCGAAAGCGAAACGAAGAGATTCGCAATATGGCAGGATTGAAAGATGACCTTATCACAAAAATTGATAGGGGCGTACTCCGATGGTTTGGGCACGTTGAGCGAATGAGTGAAGACCTAATGCTGAAGAAAATATATAGCGCGAAAGTAAATATTAAAAGGTGTTGAGGTAGACCGAGACTAACTTTCGAAGACCATGTGAGCAAATTACTCGAAGAGGGGAAGGTCAAGAGTACTCGGATACCTAGACGTGCATGTATGAAGAAGTTAATGAACCTGAAAGAAGCGAAAGAGGTATGTAAGGATCGTGACACTTGGCGATCTGTTCTCTCTGGCTACCCCGTTAGGGATTGTGCGTGAAGATAAAGAAAGAAAGAACACATATAGCAATTCTCCATGACAAACATAAACACATAATTTAAAAAAATCACACTAACAATACTTACGACGTACGTCAAGGTATCAAACTTACCTATTTAGACACGTGCCACACGTCTGCACTCCACTGTTACGCGGTCGTTACTGGCGAATAGGAAACTATAGCACGCGTCACGTAAAAAGAACGCTGGAAGAAAGTGGTGGGAGTGTGTTTGCGCATGGGTACAGTCTCGCACGAAAGTTATGTGCCTATTAATTTATTTTTTAACTAGGCTTTCGCTCGCGGGTCGTGGCTTCGTACCTATATATTTGTTATTCTTATTAGTTATAACATTGAAAAATATATTAGATAAAATATCAATAAAATGAATTAAAAACATGTTTGAATTATGTATTATAGAATGTTTAATCGAAATAAAATTAAAGTAATGTTGAAACTCCTTCCATTAAGTCATCATGCGTGACGTGAAAACCAGATGAGGACGCGGTGTTGGTGCTAGAAGTGGCCATTTCATCGTCGTCGCTGTCGTCACTCGAGCTTCCATCCTCATCTGAGTCGGAATCATGATCCCCTACGTGGATAGCAAATGTTTCTGTCATCATGTCCACCACATGATCGCTTTTACAGTAATCAGCCTCTATTTCTTTTACCTTCGTGCATAGCTTCCCCCATTCTGTTGCTCCCATTAAATTTACTTTTTCATGAATCAACTCAGTTATACGTGTCAGGTTCCAAGTTACATTTTTACAGGCAACATAACTTTTTATTTGGGACCAGGCCATTTCAATAGGATTCAGGTCCGGGTGATATGGGGGCAAACGAAGTACAGAATGTCCTGCTTCGTTCAAAATAGCATCGATATTAAATTTCTTAAATTTATCTTTGCATTTTTTTATTAAGTTGTACAACTCCGGCTTTAGCATGGTCTCTTCAAATTCAATACCTTTTTGACGAAGCCAGGTTTGCATGTCTGCTTTCTTTGAATTGGACGTTGGTGCAGCATCGAGTTGTTTATTGTGGTACGATGCATTATCGACTACCACGACTGAATTAGGCGGTAAATTTGGTATCAGTTGAGTACGGAGCCACCGCTCGTAATTTTCAGAATTCATATTGTCATGGTAGTCGCCGCTTTTTGTACCGGCTTTAAACGTCAGTAAAGCATTCGGCACAAAACCTGCATCGCCACCCGCATGCACTATGACTAAGCGGCTACCTTTAGATACAGGTTTTTTAATGCCCTTGGTGGAACCGTCTGTCCAAGCATGGTGAGACGCATGGGAACTATCGACGTATGATTCGTCAGTGTGAATGATAGATCTTACTTCCTCTCTATATTTTTTAATCTTTCTCAGATATTCAATTCTTTGAAATCGAATTTGTGACTGCTCAATTAAGATTTTTCTATTGGTTTCCGTTTTTTTCCATTTAAAACCCAAGTTTTTCAATACTCGCCTGAGACTTGCTGCAGATCCTTGGAAATGTATGTCATCCTGTAACTTCCTTTGCAACTTGCCTATGGTAGGCAATTCTTTTTCAGTAACGTGAAAATTATGGATCATTCTTTTTATAACACCCTGGTCAAAGCTGTCAATGTCTGTTATTGGTTTTGTTTTTTTTCTTTTATTTTTGCCGGGAGTTCGGAAAACAGTAAGAAATTCCGAATCTTTTGAACCCTTTACTATTCGTCTCACTGTCGACTCGGAACATTTTGTTGCCTCTGCGGTCCGTTTCATACATTTTTTTAAATTATTAAATACATTATTATCAGCTTCCCTCTTCATAAAACAGTATACGTCATAAATAATTTTTCTCACTTCTCTATGTAAAACCATTTCGTAATTTAAAACTTTTGTGCGCGATGGTATTTTTAAAAGGAACGTAACGTGGATACTACGCGGGAAGCAAAGCTCAACTGATGAACCAATAGCGCATCGGTAAACATGCGGCGCGTGGCTCACCCGCCCCGCGCCCTACCTCATACCACCAAGTAGACCGATAAATCGCCTATGCGCAGCTTGACCGCCAGCGTTCTTTTTACGTGACGCGTACTATACCAAAAAGGACGCGTTCGAAATCCCGCGCAATTTAAAATTTACATCGAAAAATTGTTTAGGCGACGTACCACATACGTACGTCAGTGGTTGAGGGTTAAAATATTATCCTTATTTTTAAGTAGATAAGCTTCAGTATACTTATTTAAATCACTACTAAATCTAAATAAACACTATGAAAAGTGGAATATCCCATAAATCGGTTATAACCATTGGTTCTTTTATATATTTATTTTAGTGTTTACATCGCAAACACTTGTCACATTGATTTACATAATTAGTAGGATGTTACTAATTATGTATGTAGTTTCTAACTCCGGTCAAAAGAATCTTTTCTTTTCCGTTGATGAGACCGTTATTTGGCAAAAATGATAGTCGTTTAACACTTTCACTGTCCAGGTACCGCATGTGGGACCCGGACGTCTAGCACTACACGTTCGGGTCTCACATGTGGTACCCCACTAGTATAGTATTTCATACAAGAAAATATCCTTAGACTCTACGGAAAGGATCATTATCAAGAGGTTAACTTGTAGGGCTTGAAATTAGTGAACTAAAAATCTTATGTACCTCCAAATATCTATATAAGTTATGACAAAAACAAAACAGTAAATTAAATAAATAAAATGAACATGAATATGAGTTTTATATTATGACCAAACCTAAATGAAATTTAGCAAAACATACCAAACCATATTTGTAAACAATGTTTCTCACATTGTTTACAAATATGGTCAACTTTTTTGGCTTTTGATTTTGCTTGAGCAACTGTCAGTCCCAATTTTCGCTCTTGATCGTAACACAGTGAGCACCGTCTCCTTATAATTTTTTTGTCGTCCTTCGAGGTATTTCTTCAAGATAATGATTTGTGGTTCTTCGTGACGGTGGTATCGATATTATGGACGATGATGACGGACGATGAATGGAGGAAGTGTCCTATTCTAAATTCAAAAATAGTCGTATAATACGTGATTTAGCTTGAAGTATAGTCATTTTTTCTTTACGTACAGCAGTTGGATGTAGTTTGTTATAAACCACAACGCTGTTTGTAATTGCTACGCCGAAAATCATGTCGATTGCAATTTTTTATACCATATCAATGACTTTCTTATTGGTGATTGATAACTGCATAACTGGTCCGAGAAATTAATGCCCTTTTCTTAATTATGTTCTAAAACTACTTTGGGTTTTGGTTTAGGATTTCTTTGTCTAGTCATACACATTTCATCACTATGACAGGTGGAAATCATGAGAACGTCTCTTTTATCCTTCCATTTGCTGACGGTAACATTTTCTTTTTGGCTGGCAATAATTTCACCCCGTTGTAGCTTTTTGCTCTTACATATTTCGGTTGATTTTTTCTATTTTTTCTTAGAGTGCCACAAAGATCAGTTTGATTAGCTAAAAGATATGTCGCTAGAGGAAAACTAGTATAAAAAGTGTCTGCGACAATTAAACGACCAGCACCAAGTAATTTACGACATAATTTCACAACGACACTGCCAGGCTTATCCAAATTCTCTATTGTTTCGTCGGCGCCGCAATATATCTCATACTTCCAAGTATAGCCATCTGCAGTACATAACTTATAAATTTTTATTCCGTATTTATTAGTTTTGGATGGATTGTATTGTCTAAATAGAAGACGACCTTTGAAGGGTACCATGAACTCATCAATTATAACACAATCGCCAGGAGTAAGCAGTTGTTGAGATTTGTTTACGATTTTATCAACAAGGGGCTGTACTTTGTATAATCTATTATTTGTATCTCGTGGGGCTGAATTATCAGCAAAATGCCAGCATCTAAGCATTAGAGTAAATGTATTATGGGACATGCCTAGTATGTGCATGAGTGGATGGTAATAAATTGGATCCTTTTTCCAATAGCATTCTTCTTAGCTTCTAGTTAGCTTCACAACAATACCGGTGTAAAGAATAATTCCTAGAATTTTTTCATCATATTCTAATCCACGTCTTTCCATCTAGCAAGTCTACCAGCGTCCGAACTAATTTGCACTGCATATATATTTGTTTGTTCCACCATCATATCCAAAAACTCGTCGTCTATGATATAACAAAAAATAGACTCCACAGTGGAATGACTTTCAACATCGACGCCTAAACGTTTTTCGGCAGTAAATGGTAAACGTTGTAGATCACGAACGGTATAACACCATCCGTTGTTCATATCTTTAGTTTTCAAATGTTCATGTGGATCACTTCGAGGGCTATTTTGAGAAGAAAGTTCACTTACTGAAACTGCAGACACCGACGGCACCTGATTTTCAATGGGATTTGGTGACTGTGCAATATTCATAGGAATGTCGTCAAAATCTCTCTGGTCTGAATCATTTTGCGGTAAAAATAATTCCTCGTCAACGTGTATTTGTTGGGGCTGACTATATTGAATTAATCTATTTATATTTTCCAATGTTTCATTATCAGAACTTCCTGAATCATGTCGATTATCTTGAGGCACTTCATAATCAGGATCATCTTCATCACTAGCGTGGAATGGATCTAATGACAAATCACTGCAATAATCTAATTCTTCGTCACTGTTTTCTAAATAACTTAAAATATCTTCGTCATTTGTTCTGCGAGACATCTTTCGTTTTTATTTAAACAATTTTATTAAAAAATTTAAACAGCTGATTGCTATAGATTAATAACAAAATGTACTATAGATTAAAAATAACCCCACAGATTAAAATTAAAAATGGGTCACATGTGGGACCTCGGACTCAATCAGCCCAGGGAGTTCAGGGATCCACATGCGGTACCCAGCACATATTTTATATAATTGCTTGGACGTAGCGGGAAATTTGTAATAACTGCTTGGATAGTGAAAGTGTTAATATTACACGTTTGGTCTCACGGCGGTCCTAGTGCAACATAATCAGAATCATTATCATAACAACAGGGATCCAATACAACCTACAATCTCAGCCGCGTAAGCGGTTTGTGATACCTTTGTTTTAATTTCTAAGTATGTTCATGGGAACGTTTTTTCGATTACGTTGTATAATGGTACCTAGTTTTAACCATGCATTAAAATTATATCGTAAATGAAATGAATTTAACTTTCCCAATAGTTTGTACCTCTAAATATAGATTTTTACATTCAATTGAAATTCATTTTGTAAAAGTATTATATTTTTATATGGTAGGTATATTAACAAAAAATCATTAATTGGGTTATTTATAATTTCGAAAACTAATTTTTTCATGACTTCTAATGTATATGTTTGTCTTAATTGAGACATAAATTTATATAGGGTCAGTTAGGGTAAGAGGAACATAGTTTATTTTGAGCCCGAGGTTTTGAGCTCCAGGAAGAGCATATAACGTTTTATGACAATTTTGAGATACATTAAACTTGCCTTAGTTTATCAACTTTTCATGTTTTAAGAATCATAACGCTAATTTGAAAACTTACGACAGTATCGGCCAAAAACATTTAACTTGTACTAACGTTCATCTTCCCCCTCATCTGGGGTAAGTGTAACATTCATCGTATCTCCTAAGATTATGATGTTTATTTAAATGTAACTGTTGCTACATTTTAAGTAATACTTATTTAATAGAATTTGATCGTAACGTAATTGTAACAAGGTACAGTTTTGAAGAAAATGAAAATATTATATTTAGGGTCGGAGAAACATATATTTATAAACATAAGTTCCAGTCAGGGATCAATATTTCGAATGAGCATATTTCTTATCAAAACAAGTTGCAAAAGTAGAAAAAAAATATTACTAAAACTACTGTACGCTGTTTTTTTATAAATATTTAAAAAAAATATACTAAATCTTCTTCACGTGAAAGAAGAAACTCGTTGGAGTTGTTAGGATATTGCAGCAGGTGAACTTTCTTAACTATAGACAATTCCGGAACAGTATCACGATCTACTTTTTTAGTAAGTTTAAATTTCAATGAATTTTTGTAAGTTTTGTAGAACCTTATTTCATAAGTTACGACACTGCAACTAGGATGCGGAGATATTATATTAGTTATATAGCCAATATAATATGTCGATTTATTTCTAGTGTAGTACCTGACCAATCACATTGTTGTTATTTGCATAATTCATGTCCTTACGTCCTTGCTCCTCTATTTTCTCATTCCAGTTGCTATCAACTGCTTCTGCCACCATTTTCCTTCCTTCTGATCGGGTAACTACTTCTGTCGCCTTTTTTCTTCCATTTGTTATATTGCTAATAACTGACTCTGCCTCTATTATATTTCTGATCCAATAACAATCTCTGTTGCTTTGTTTTTTTCATCTGTAATGTTATTATTTTCAAGGTCTGGAATAAAGTTTATGTAATTGAATAAAACTAAATTTACGGATTCTATCGCATTTAATTAATTACTTTTACTTATTTTTAATTCCCGACGTTTCGGGTGCTTTACAGCACCCATGGTCACGGGGGGACTGAGACGTTTGACGTCCCAATTCATTGTTAGCCCGGCTACCTTCAGTTTTTGAATATTAATTTTTGGTCCGATTTACGCAAAACGAGCTTACAGTATCTTGATGTCTTGCAGTAGTATGCTTGGGTTTGGGTTTGATTTTGTTAATTATAGGATCCCAAGCAGATGGCAGCACCCAACCATCTTCTGTATTGAAATTAGGACGTTTTTTTAATTTCAATAGCCTGTATTTTAAATCGTAGTTCTTTTGCGAGGATTTGTGGTTTATCAAATCTGATGTAATGGTGGGAACGATCTTGAACATGTTCGCAGACTGCAGACTTCCCGGAGCGTCGGTTCTTCACGTCAGCTATATGTTCTTTCACGCGGGTTATTATGGATATTTTTGTTTGACCTATGTAAAAGAGGACCACATTCACAATCTAACTTGTACACTCCTGCATCTTATAGAGGGATATTACACTTGACAGATGGTAAAAATTTACTAATCTTCTTCGTCGGCTTGTAGTATGTTTTAATGGAAGCTCGCTTCAAGATGTAGCCAACCTTGTCTGTGACTCCTCTGACATATGGTAGTACAGCAGGCACACGCTCGACTGTGGCCGGCTTCACTCGGTCACTGTGACGTAGGCGCGGGACCCGAAGCTTGTTGTCTTGCAACACTTGCTTGACATGCTGAAGCTCGGCGGCCAGATGTTTTCTGTCACAGATCACTCGTGCTCTCTGAAACAAAGATTTACCCAAACACAAAAAATTTACACGGTAGCTAACTGTAAAGGATGATGGTGAGATTCACCATTTAAATATCGGTTGGTATGGGTCTTTTTTCTATACACTGTGTGACCAATAGTGTTATCAGGATTTCGAATGACTAAAACATCTAGGAAAGCAAAGGAATTATTTGCCTACGTTCCGCTTGTAGAATCTTGGATTTACAGGAGCAGTAAGAAGGGCTTTCTCCTCGAAGTCCTCCATGAATATGTCGGCGACTATGGAAGATAGAGGTGAGCACATCGCCACACCATCTACTTGCTTGTAGAACTCTTCCTTCCATAATAGATAGCCAGATGTGAGGCAATGTTTGAGTAATACTGCATATTCAGCAGGCATGTTGTTATCTTCTAGCTTCCTAGTTACAATTGAGATGCAGTCTTCAATAGGTAGGCATGTGAATAGTGACTGAACATCAAAACTGACCATAGTTTCATTGTCAGCGAGATGTAGGTCTTTTATCTCACTAACAAAATGGTATGAATCCTTTGTGTGTGCTCTGGTATGTCTTCTCAGTGGTGACAGTAATTTTGCCAAGTGTTGTGCCAGCTTATAAGTTGGTGAATCGATCTGGCTCACTATAGGACGTAGTGGAGCGTTTGATTTGTGTATCTTCGGTAACCCATACAATCTCGGTGATTTGGTACATGATGGTATTAGCGAATTCACGTCGAGATTTAATTTTTCAGAGTATTTCTTTACTAAATCGCTAGTTGCTTTAAGCGTGTTAGTTGTGGGGTCTGTTTTGACCTATTTGCATGTACTTTCGTCCGATAAAAGCTGTAGTATTTTAAAACTGTACTGTGAAGTGTCCACTATAACCGTAGCGTTTCCTTTATCCCTGAGGAGAATCGTTAGCTCTGGTCTGTTCCGTAAGTTAAACAACGCTGTAAATTCGTCTTTAGGAAGGTTTGGTTTCGGCACTGCACTACGACGTAACAAGGACGAAATATCTTGACGTATAGCCTCCAAATCTTCCTTAGCGATATTATTCTTAAACAGACAATCCTCAACACTGCAGATAATTTTTTCGTACGGGATTTTTCGCGGTGTTAATGCGAAGTTCATTCCCTTAGCTAATACCGTTATCGTCGGTTCGTCCAGTGTATGTTTTGACAGATTATAGACCGTGCGTTGTTTGTTGTTTGCGTCTGTGGTCAACGGTTGTGTTTCGTTCTGACGTTGACTTAGATGGTTGGCATTTGATTTGATCGTTAATTTTTGGAATTTTTCTATTTGTTTATTTTTGCATTCATTGTATTTTGATGTTTCTCGTTTGTTTAAAGTTTCGATGCAATTATTAAAATCAAATGTCGTTAAAACTGTCTATAGTTCACTGGACAAATTGTCTGTGTTGTTGTTTATGAAATGTAAATCGAACCGTTTCTGCTAAATCACCGTTCGTAACAACTTTTTACTGCTGGAGATGAGATGGTTCTAGTTGACGTGTAGCCTCGGAGTCCTACTACTTTTGATTTGCTCGGGTCTTTACTAAAACTAGTTTCATCAGCATTCCAGATATGTGAAGGTTTATCACGTAAACCTAAATCATCAATTGTTTTCGCCAGTAAATCAAAATAAGGATAAATTACAGGAGGGTTGCATGCTTTTTTACGTGCATATTCTACGGGCTGTGGTTTTTTGACAGAAAGATCATGTCTTTTTTTGAAAGCAAAGAACCAATCCTCTCCTGGAATACCGTTCTTGAACGGGGTTTCGATATTGTTTTCGACCACATATTGACCAACGACTTCAAGTACTTCCTTGCGAGTCAAACCAAAACCATACTTCTCCGTTATATGGAGATTTTCTGCAAGTGTTTTCTCTACATCCATAGATAATGCTGTAGGTCTACCTAAACTGTTTGATTTAACCCTTAGTAGCCTGATTTACGCGAGTCTTCTTTTTTAAATATTACTGTATTTGCTTGAGGGTCTAGATGAAGGGAAAAATAGCTAAATAAATCACAATATTTATTTTACATATTTATTTAAAAAAAAAAACAGGTATCAATTTTGATACTTCAGGCATTATGGCCATAAAGAAATCTTAAATGACCTATGCATGAAATAATGCGAAACATCGATTGTTTTTATTATCGCATAACGATACTTTGCATTTTTTACAGAACCAGGAGGTAAGTTTCCTACAATTACTAAATTTACATTTATTCCTAGACTCCATAAATATTTTTTCATGGCCAATACAATCGGAACGCACGTCAGTTGGGGGTAGTACTTGTGCACCTGTCCGGGGTTTTTTAGAGGGTACTGTATTGTCTTGTTGACTGTTGGTACTGGGTCTGCCCCTTTTATTTTTTGAGTGACTTTGATATCTACATAAAGTATCGGCAAGCTCAGTTCTAAAATCTGCTAACTTCATAATATTCTTCTGAAGTTTTCCTTTCCTTGTGTTTACCTTTTTGTACAGTACCCAAGCATTGATGACAGTCATGTCTAACAAGTGGTAGAAGAGCCTCGTTGTCCACTTTCTCGACTTTATGCGGATGCGATATCGACCAATGAAGCTATCCATCAAATAAACGCCGCCCATGTGTGCATTATATTCTTTTACAACCCGAGGACATGATATTTGAATATTGGCCTTTAGTTTTTTTTCGTAGCGGGTTATAGTATCCGCTGGTTCAGCGCCAACATACGTGGATAGTAATAATACCTGTTTGTTGTCTTTCCAACTTGTGACCGACAATTCTAGGCCTTCGTGAGAGGCCACATTTTCGTGATATGTTCCTCTGGGTACGTTGGATTTCATAATCTCCCGTTTCTCCGGCAACTTGCACGACTTTCCAAGCCTGTTTCTCTGTACTGTTCCAAGACAATAAATACCTTCGTTGGTCAAGTAATGTACCAGAGGAATATTCGTATAAAAATTGTCAAAATAAATTATATGATTGACATGCCTTGGTACTGGTCGTAGCAATCGAATAACTGTATTCGACACAGCTCCGAGGTCTGGTTCGCCAGGTAAACGGTCCATGTCCTTAGCTCCCGAGTAAATCTCAAAACTGTAGGCATAACCAGACAGAGAGCATAACACGTATAATTTGAATCCCCACTTATGGGGCTTGTTGGGTAAATATTGTTTCATAAAATGTTTCATTTTTGTGGAACACATCTGCTCGTCTAGTGATAGACGATGCTCAAATGGTAAAGTAATAAATTTCTTGTTCAAATAGTCTATCACTGGTCTTACTTTATGCAGTCGGTCGTGCTGGGGGTGATCAATGGGCAAATGTTTAGAGTCGTCATTCATGTGAAAAATTTCTCTAATTTTATCAAATCTGTTGCGATTCATTGTTTGTACTATGGGTTCAAACTTTGTAATGTTTGACCAGTATGACCGGATACTAGGATAATGATATACACTAGTAAAAATAAGAATTCCAATAAATTTACGTAATTCTAAGACAGTTACAGGTTCTGTAAAGTTGGGATTCTTTTGGAAGGCATATTTATTTGACTCGTCCACTAGAAATCTCAAAATGTCTTCACCGAAAAAATAAGAAAAAAACTGAAATGGAGTGTCTAAGTTCATAATTTCTTGTGAATACTCATTATTTCCAGCAAACTGGAAAGCATTTTGGACTAAATCCATATTTTTTACTCTCCACACTAAGTTTCTAGAGTTGAAAGGTGCAGTTTGCAGGTTGTTCTGGCTGCTGGTTGTAGGAGTTGGGTTTCGTTCAACAGTCTCTAAATTATGTTGCATGTCGGTATCTACGTTTGCTGCAGGCGGATCTGCATCCAAGTTTGGGTCAGTGGGAAAATTACCTACATCCTCTTCATCATCTAGCTCCATCAGACGATCTCTTTGGCTCGAATAATAGTCTATGTCATCTTCATTGTCGGTGGAATCGTCTTCCGAAATTTCACCATTTTCTAACCGCTTCAATATGTTCTCAATCTCTTCTGGCCGCATTTTGGATAAATTTCTATAATAAATAAAAACAAAAGTAATCCCCACACCAAGCTATGCAGAAAAAATATGAAACGAAAGTTCAAAAAAGTTTTATAGCTAAAGAGTTAGTAGGTAGGTTTTATGTAGGGCGGAATGCCTGAAGTATCAATATTGATACCAAAAAAAAAGCACTAATTTCTTCAAGTAAAACATGCATTTGCTAAAAATAATTATATCATAGCGAAAATAATGTATTCACTTACCTCAAAAGTATTTATATTCTTCAGAAAAAGAAAATATATCAAATTTATATTCAACAAAACTTTTAGTAAAATGTGTTTACTTGTTCACTTTGCCGCGCAAGTAATATGTCACAGATAAAATAAAACAATAATGACATTTGTTTTTTTTTTTAACTTCGTTGGATAGAATACTATACAACAGTAAAATACATACAGCCAACATATAAAAAAAAAACTAATAGTAATGTGAATATTCGGTTTAAAATATTAGTATCAAAATTGAAACTCTAGGTTATTAAGGGTTAAGACCTTTTCGCTTATAGACGCGGTTCACTATTGTTGGTCTCGGTATGCCGTACAATTTTGAGGCGGCATATGCAGATAATGTGCCATTTTTTACTGCCTCAACAGCATCTTTCAATTGTTCTTGTATAGGCAGCACCTCTATTAGATTTTCTTATTTTTCAGTTTTTCTAAAAAAGAAGTTTCGGCATTTTTCAGTTTTTCTAAAAAAGAGCCAATAATATCATCAACATCATCATTACAGCCCTTCACAAGTCCACTGCTGAACATAGGCCTCCCCCAAGTAATGCCACGGTCCTGAGCCACCTGCATCCATCGACTTCCTGCATGTCTTACCAGGTTATCACTCCATCTAGTGGGGGGTCGCCCTACACTACGCCTACCGGTACGAGGCTGCCACTCGAGAACCTTTCTTCCCCATCGGTTATCGGTTCTTCGCGCTATATGGCCGGCCCATTGCAACTTCAGCTTACTAATCCGTTGGGCTATGTCGGTCACTCTGGTTTTACTGCGGATACCCTCATTTCTGAGTCTATCACGCAGAGAAACTCCGAGCATAGCCCTCTCCATAGCTCGCTGAGCGACCTTGAGCGTCCTCATACAGCCAGCAGTGAAGGACCACGTCTCAGATCCGTAAGTCATCACTGGCAACACGCACTGGTTATACACTTTAGTTTTCAGAGATTGAGGTATACCTGACGAGAAGATGTGATACCTGACGTGAAGAAATAATAAGTATTAAATAATATACAATATTTAGTTGGTTAGATAGTTATAGGTGGAGACTCAAATCCGTGCCACTTCACACATTTAAGGAATAAAGAGCCGTGGCAGCTCAGGGTCTAAGCGCACGCTGTAAATTTCATAGTACGCGGGAAACCTGGGTTCGATCCCCGCCACTAATTACTCGGCACTAATGAAATTCTTAATTGCAATATTAAGTGCTGATTTACCACGTGCTCGGCGGTGAAGCAAAACATTGTGAAGACCATATGTGTGAACCTGCATGTCTGAGAAATAAGAATAAAATATTTCAAAGTCATGTGAAGTTTGCCAACACGCATTGGAGCAGCATTGTGGACATTTCCTTGCCCTAAAACCCTTTCAGAAATGAGAGAAGTTCTATGCCCAGGAGTGGGACTAGGGTTGCCAACTTTTTTTGACAAAAAAAACTTATAAAGTGGTTTGGATAGGAAAAAAATAAAGTATTAGGAACAAAAAAAAGTTTCAAATTTTATGTTTTTATTGCTTTAAAGACGTATTTTTGTGTACTTTTAGCACATGCTAACAAATTTTTGTTGTCTTTAAATGTTACTAAGCTTGTTTGACAATCAATGTTTAAATTTAAATAAATAATTCGTTTTTAATTAAATTTATTGATGCTTTATTTCTCTCTTCTCGCCACTTTAGATTCATTATAGAAAAAACTCTTTCAGTGAAAGCTGAAGTGGCAGGAGTGGAGAGTAGGTAAGAAATAAATTGTTTTATATTTGGTAAGCTATCAGATGCATTTTTAAGTACATATTGCCATTTTTCTACTGCACTTTTCACTGAAAATTCTTTATCATCATTAGTGAATTTTCTTTGGATTTCTTTAAGTCTTATAGATTCGGAATACACATCGTCCAACTTAAATATTTAATCTGTCTTGTAATTTGGCCTTTGTAATAACCATTTGAAAATGTTCAAATTTTACCTCATTTTTCAAAGACATGTTAGGAAGTATTGAAAGTTATCTTCGCTAAAATCAAACCATTTTATCATACAATTTAAGCTCATATCTGTACGGTCCAACCGTACATTTCTGCTGGCGTTAACATTTTACGTGAAGCAATCGATATATTTCGACAATTATAAAAATTGTGTTAGTTCACGTAATCACCGTAACCGCGACGGACGCGAGCTCATTAACATAACATTAACATTTAACATTTTTTAACATATTTTAATCTTATATTTTTTACTTCTTTATTAAACTGTTTTTATATAAAAGTTTAATTATTATTAAACATACGTCCAATACCCGAACATTTTTTTTGGTCCTTCGAGCGAAAAATAAACATTTTCGTGAATCGTGAAATAAACATTTCTTATTTTTGGGTCCTTCGACGAGTGCATTGGACCCCCGCGTGTATCAAAGACAGTGACGTGACAGTGAGAACAAGCGAACATTTTAAACTCAAACATAACAGCGGTCATCTTGCTCAACATCCACAACATTTGGCTTGGCCAAGCAGCAGCTAGTCGAGGTCAAGAAGCAACGAGTCGGCAAGTTGGTCAGCAGCAGCATCAGCATCAGCAGTAATCAGCCGAGCCAAAGTAAGATCTTTCCTTTCTTAACAGTTTTGCATTTTATAGCAACATGGAAAACGTACACGCTAAAAAGTGAAAAGTTACTGATAACTGTATTGAATGTTTCGGATGAGGACTTTTGAATTTTTTGTAATCTCATTTTTGATTCATAACCAAAGTACTTATCAGTTTTTCTTTGTTCTAATTCGTTTCTTAAATTATCCATAATATTATAGACATTTAGTATAGTTACATCATTTCCTTCCAGACGTTTTATCGTTTTATTAAATATATTAAACATGTGGCTTGTAAAGTGTAGATAAATTTCCACAACTTCCCTATCCTGTTGATCACTTAGTTTTAATAATTCTTGTATAATTATTGCACAATTATCACCTAAACTTATAAAATAATTACATATTGGTGCCCAATTCAGTAAAAGGGTGTCAACGGCTGGAAGTAGTGATAACCACCGTGTACCAATATGACGTTGGATTTCGTGAAATTCGCCATCAACCATAGTAACAATTTTTTTTAAATCATCTCGTCTACAAGCAGATACCGAAAAATGATGTATATTTTTAAAACAATATTTTCTATGTCACAAATCAAGTAGCCCATAGCATGTTTTACTGTATTATGGATAATGTGTGCATGACAGTTGCCTTTTATTAGGTTTGGTACTTCTTTTTTAATATTTGTGTACAATGAGTGATGAATGCCAAAATTTGCATTGCAATTGTCTGCACTGAGACCTGATACTTTATTGAATGACAGTTTGTGGGAATCCATAGACTTCTTCATAGCTTCTAACATGCCATCAGCAGATTTATTAGAATTTTCGTAAAAATCGATCAGTTTATTTTGGATCCCTTCATTTATTGAAAAATATTGCACTACGAGAGGAAATAACTTAAAAATCAATAAAAATAATTATTTTTATTTGATGCATCTGTCTGGAGACAGAAAAATACATTATCATGTAAATCGTTTATTTACACTTTCCACAGAATATGGGCCTAACACTTCTGTCACTAAAGTAAGTCAACTCTGTTCTGTCCATTTTAGTTCTAGTCTAGCTATTTTGGAATCTACAAATACAATTTTATTTAATTTATTTAGGCAATCCATGCTATTATAAGATAAATTATGCTTTACAGTGTGAAAAGTCAATGCTAATTCCGCTGCTATAATATTCTCATCATCACTAGATCCTTGACATCTTGATTTATTATCTGATGTAAGGAAATTTTGTAATGCACCAGATGTTTTCTTCATTTCAGTTTTCATCTTATGCTTCTGAGTATTTTGATGTTGCTTAATCTATAGAAAGAAAGAAACAAAAACTGAAACCACCACCATATTAAACCATCACTATTTTCAAAATAATACTGAATCATGAATTCTTCAAATATTCTTCAATTGAATGACAAATATTAATAATATAATTTTATCCAAAAACAATTATCTGAATGAGAATATAAACATTTAAGAATTCTGACAATTAGTATAAAAAATAAATATATTTTTTTTATCTTATTATAATAACAAGTAACAAGATTATTTTTAAAATAACTCATAGAATTTGAAACATTGAAACTAATTTCCCTTGCTCATGCTTAAAAAATAGTGTATAAATTGTCAATGCAAACTAAATTTCAAATATGCATGCAACATTGAAATAATACTAGTTTTTACGGAATTTATCGCGTATATTTAACTTTTAAATACCCGACATTTCGAACGCTTTACAGCACTCATGGTCACGGGCAGGACTGAGATGTTCAACGTCCATATGTCATAGTTAACCGCGATTACCATACATTAAAATTTAACTTTTGTTCCGATCTATGCAGTATGAACTTATGGTATCTTGAAGTCTTGCAGTTGCATGCTTGGGTTGGGATTTAATTTTATTTATTATAGGATCCCAAGCAGATGGTAGCACCCAGCCATCTTCTCTATTGAAATTAGGATGTTTTTTGATTTCAATAGCCTCGCGAATCATCCTTGGAAGGAATCGGTGTTCTTTAGCGAGGATCTGCGGTCTATCAAATCTGATGTAGTGACGGGGGCGATCCTGTACGTGTTCACAGACTGCAGACTTCCCGGAGCGTCGATTCTTCACATCAGCTATATGTTCTTTAACGCGGGTTTTTATTGATCTTTTACTTTGTCCTATGTAGGAGAGACCACATTCACAATCAAGCTTGTACACTCCTGCATCTTGCAGAGGGACATTACACTTGACCGATGGTAAAAACTGACCAATCTTCTTCAGCGGCTTGAAGTATGTTTTGACGGAAGCGCGCTTCAAGATGTAGCCAATCTTGTCAGTGACTCCTCTAACATATGGCAGACATCTCGTCTATGTTACGTCGATGTTCAGTGCCTAAACCGAATCTTCCCAAAGACGAATTTATAGCGTTAAAGAACCTACGCAATAAACACGAACTTACGATTCTCCGCGCAGATAAGGGAAACGCCACGGTAGTCATGGGTACGTCAGATTATAATTCTAAAATACAACAACTTTTGTCGGATGTAAGTACTTATAAAAAGGTTAAAAACGACCCAACAAATAGCACACTAAAAACAACTAGTGACCTCATAAAGAAACACTCCGAAAAATTAAATCTGGACGTAAAATGGATAATACCTACGTGCGCCAAATCACCAAAATTGTATGGGTTACCAAAAATACACAAGCCCAATGCTCCATTACGTCCCATAGTGAGCCAAATCGATTCACCAACTTACAGATTGGCTCAACACTTAGCGAAAATACTCTCACCACTCAGGGGACATACAAGAGCACACATAAAGGATTCCTACCATTTTGTCAGCGAGATTAAAGACCTACATCTGGCAGACAATGAAACTGTGGTCAGTTTTGATGTGCAGTCATTGTTTACATGCTTACCTGTTGAAGACTGCATCTCAATTGTAATTAGAAGGCTGGAAGAAAACAACATGCCCGTAGAATATGCAGTATTACTCAGACACTGCCTTACATCTGGCTACCTATTGTGGAAGGAGGAGTTCTACAAGCAAGTAGATGGTGTGGCGATGGGCTCACCTGTATCTCCCATTGTCGCCGACATATTCATGGAAGACTTTGAAGAGAAAGCCCTGCTTAGTTCTCCCATAAATCCAAGGTTCTACAAGCGGTACGTAGACGACACTTTCACAATTCTACCTTTAGATAAAGTAACTGCATTTTTAGACCATCTTAACTCTATAAATTCTAAAATTCAGTTCACAATGGAGTTAGAGGCAAACAATTCCTTAGCTTTTCTAGATGTGTTAGTAATTCGGAATCCTGATAACACCTTGAGCCATACTGTGTATAGAAAAAAGACCCATACAGATAGATATTTAAACGGTGATTCTCACCACCATCCTTCACAGTTAGCTACCGTGGGTAAATCTTTGTTTCAGAGAGCACGAGGGATCTGTGACAGTAAACACCTGGCTGCAGAGCTCCACCATGTCAAGCAAGTTTTGCATGACAACAAGCTTCGAGTCCCGCGCCTACGTCACAGTGAACGAGTGAAGCCGGCCACAGTCGAGCGTGTACCTGCTGTACTGCCATATGTTAGAGGAGTCACTGACAAGATTGGCTACATCTTGAAGCGCGCTTCCATCAAAACATACTTCAAGCCGCTGAAGAAGATTGGTCAGTTTTTACCATCGGTCAAGCGTAATGTCCCTCTGCAAGATGCAGGAGTGTACAAGCTTGATTGTGAATGTGGTCTCTCCTACATAGGACAAACTAAAAGATCTATAAAAACCCGCGTTAAAGAACATATAGCTGATGTGAAGAATCGACGCTCCGGGAAGTTTGCAGTCTGTAAACACGTACAGGATCGCCCCCGTCACATCAGATTTGATAGACCGCAGATCCTCGCTAAAGAACACCGATTCCTTCCAAGGATGATTCGCGAGGCTATTGAAATCAAAAAACATCCTAATTTCAATAGAGAAGATGGCTGGGTGCTATCATCTGCTTGGGATCCTATAATAAATAAAATTAAATCCCAACCCAAGCATACAACTGCAAGACTTCAAGATACCATAAGTTCATACTGCATAGATCGGAACAAAAGTTAAATTTTAATCTATGGTAACCGCGGTTAACTATGACATATGGACGTTGAACATCTCAGTCCTGCCCGTGACCATGAGTGCTGTAAAGCGTTCGAAACGTCGGGTATTTAAAAAGTTAAATATACACGATAAATTCCGTAAAAACTAGTATTATTTCAATGTGTAGTGTTCGCGTAAATATAAGAAATCATTATGCATGCAACAGTTATTAAAACTTTTCAATACAAAGTCCTGCCATATACAAACTGGTGTCTTTTTTTGTAAAGATGTAAAGAAAACTAATGAATTGGGTTAGGTAAATAAGTTAAAAAATGTAAATAAAATAACTATACGAAAGGAGAAGCAACGTAGCTTTAACAATATTTGCACACATTAATACATTTTCATACCTGTCCAATGCCAGCTGAACTGATTGTAAAATTAACGCCGCAGGTTGAAATATGTTGCAAAATTTTCAGTGCCGCCCTCGTAAATCAGTTCTTTATTTAACTTAAATTTTAGTTCAACCACAATTACACACACTACTCAATAATAGCTTCCTATTCTATAACATAGGTAAGAGTGCTCTATGCTATATTCATAGACTAACCTTATATACTAATGATGTATATATTGACATATACTACATCTTTCCCTTTATATTTAAATCACAATCTTTAAAACGCTTGGGGTATCTTACATTACTTTTAGGTATAGTACATTCTGATTCAGCACCAGCGTCATCTTCAGGAATCTCACTGACTTCAGACTCCTCTGGCACTGTTATAATTCTAGGTTTGACATGAACTGTATTTCTTCTAAATTTTACACCTTCATCACTAACTACTGGGGTTTTCAATAACTTTGTTTTCTAAAACAAAATAAAACAAAGAGTTTAGATGAAGATGATTCAAATTTTTATTGTATTACGAAGAGAAAAGTTTGGCAATTATGAATGAAAAATGATATCTGGCAAATGTCCACCACGACCACGCTGACAGATGTCGATTCTTTCATCAAAGTTTTTAATCACTTTTTGGCAAAATGGCGCGTCTATTTCGATAATCACGTCACGGATTTTGAGTTTTAAGGCCGCGATCGATTCGATTGGCTCCGTATAGACTCTGTCCTAAACATAACCCCAAAAAAATAATCCAGTGGTGTTAAATCACACGATCTGGCTGGCCACTTAACAGCTGAATTTCGTGAAATTATGCGATCGGTAAATTTGGTTTGCAATAAAATGATCGTTGGCTGTGTGACATGTGGCACTGTCCTGTTGAAACCAAATGTTTATGATATAGATGTCATCAATAATAGGCCAAAATTGAGATGTTAACATCTCGCGATAGCGTGATCAATTGATCGTTACCGCATTTCCAGCCTCATCTTCGAAAAAAAAACGGCCCAATCACGCCTCCAGACCACATAGCGCACCATACAGTGACACGTTGAGCATGCAAAGGCTTCTCAATAATCGCTTTAGGATTTTCAGAAGCCCAAATGCGGCAATTTTGCTTGTTGACGTACCCTGACATGTGAAAATGAACTTCGTCTGAGAAAATTATTTTTTTCAGAAAAACCAGCGGGCTGTTCCTGAATGAATTGAGCGAATCTACGGCCATGTGAATGGTCGGTCAGCTTCAATTCCTGCACCAGTTGAACCTTGTAAGGCTTCAAAGCCAAATCCTTACGCAAAATTCGCCATGTGGTGGTTTTGGATAACCCCAATTGTTGAGAACGTCGAGGAATTGACAAATTTGGCTCTTCTTCAAAACTGTGGCTTACGGCTGTGATGTTTTCGGTTTAACGACCCGGTCGAACACGCGTTGGTGTTGGCACAATTTGTATTGAGCCTGTCGATTCAAATTTAGCGACCAAATTCTTAATAGCGGTCTCAGAAGGACGATTATGTTGTCAGAAAATATCACGAATTTTACGAAACGTAACTTTAACAGAACCACCATTTTCATAGTGGATTTTAATTATTTTAATGCGATTTTCGAGCGAAATTGAATTCATTGTAGCAATTGCCAAAGCATCTACTACGAATAGGTCAAAAAACTAAATGTCAAAACTGTCATGTTGTTGGTTGTTGCCCCAATTGAAAAACAAAGTTCTTGTTGAAAAACCCATTATAATCATTGATCTTGGTGTCGCACAAATAATAACCACATTCCCAGGTTCCCAAACATTATCTGTTCTAAACCAAATATTTTGACCTTTATAAAATTTATGATTAGATTGAGTAGCAGTTTTACAATAGGTACTTTTATTACATTAGTACTTTCTGCTTTTACGAATTTGTCTTCAATGATACCTTTTCAATAAAATCCGGAATAAAACTCAATAATCGTAATAACTTCAAAAATTTCGAAATAACACAGCACGTTAGCTAGTTCTCTTTATCAGTAACATAGAACCTAATACCCTTGGGCTGGATCAGTGACGCACGACATGATCTAATATGGCGGACAGCGTTTCGCAGATTTAAGACACAGACGAAAAAAATATTCTTAAAATTGAAATCTAAACTTTATAATGCAATTTTATAAACAGAAATAAATATTTCTTGTTTACTTTTTACAAAATCTATCATAAATATATATTTTTTGATTATTTTACATGGTGTAAAATACCTTATTTAACGTTATCTTCACACAGTTTGCATCAAATAACTCAGGCTCTTCAACTGTTATATTAAGATTTATATTAGGGTTTTCTACTATTAGGACAAATTTTACATTTCTCATAATCTTACATTCAGTTTGACTACAAGCATCCTTATTCGATTTAAAAATTTGATCACGGTCGTTTAATGACTCTAATTTAATTTGAGACTCACATTTTTTATCTTTACGTATTTTTTTAATTACTTAAGTAATTAAGGCGTAATATATCTTGCAATAATGACCTACATAAGTATAAACAAAAACGTTTCCTTTATGGTGTAAAACTACTGTAATTTATATCGAAATATGTGGAATTAATAATTAATTTTCCGTTCATTTAAATACTCGTTGGTTAAAATTTCGCTGACAATAAAATTAGTGTGTTTAACAGAAGATTACCAAATGTTTAAATGGGATTTTAATTCAAAGGGATTATCATCGTTTGTTCCAGCCAATAATATTACATACATACAGTCATTTGTCAAAAGGAAAATGTATTCTTTAAAAGATTCTGTGACTATTCCTAGTTTGGCGCCTCCATTCCACATACATGTTATCTGGAATTCAGATCCTATTAAGCGCTGAAGTTTTGTACGTACTCCTCTTCCATGTTGATCAGCAATGATAATTATTTTCTTTTTTGTGTTTATATGACTGAATTATTTGCTGTTTAGTACAATTTTAGTAGTACGTCAGTGTACAAATTTGATGTATTTTTATTATCTTTATTATCTTGGGGTTCAACAATATTATTAGTATCTGAAGATGGATAAATATTAACTTGTTTACGTAGTATAAGGGGTACGGGGTTTAATTCTTTTGTATGTAGGAATTGAATAGTTGTTTCTTTGTGAAATATTGTCGTTTGTATTTCCTCCTGCTCTTCTAAATCTATTTCTTATGCTGTTAATAAGTCTGCTTGAAATTATAACAAGGTATTAATTTTGCTTCACTTTGTTATAATGATTTTTGTCTACTATTTTTATGTATTTTTCTAATTGTATCTTGAGACTATTATTTTCTAAGAGTAAATTATCTATTTCGTTATGAGCTGTTGCTAAATCTTCATTTGCTTTTTCCAAATCCAATCTGTTGTCTGAGTGTACTCGTATCATGCTATCATTGAGTGTGCAACCTTTGTGGCATCCTTCGGTTCATTTACTGACAGTTTTTATTTAGGTATGGCAGAAAATTTAGTTTTGTAATGCTCAATAACAAGATGTATTTTATATTACAGGTTGTAATTTGCATGGTCAACAGGCTTGTGATTTTTATTATTTTGAAGCTTGATTCTTTGAAACTTCATGACTGGCATTATGAATTTAACTTAACTGTAACCAAAAGCAGGCAGATTACCAATGTGATTATGTATTTTGAAATTTTTGCACAGATATGAGTAGCATTAATATCCCAAAAAACTTTTTGATATCTAATGCTGTATAAATTATTTTTTGTTAAAATCTATTTAGAAGCTTTAAAATTTATTCTGAGCAACAAGATTTTACAGGAAATCTTCATAAAAATACTTCAAACATTAGAAAGGATTCTCCAAACTGAGATATTTCAAAAAGAAAAGGAGAGCTATCTAAGAAAGTAATTTTATCCTTATCAAAGTCCATATTTCGCCTTTTCCAAATAAGCTTTCTTTTTCCCAATAATTTATTAAAAATATCACCACAAGAAACTCTGTTTTAGCTTTTTCGTTCTTCCACCAGTTTTTCAACAAGAGGATTTTTTTTTCATTTTCTTCCTGACAATCTTCATTACTATTTTCATCATATAATAGACTTAGAAGTTCATCTTTAGTATATTGTGAATTTGGTGGGCGATCATGGTCTGAATCAGTGTGACCGGCTCAAAAATGGTAAAACTGGAAAAAATCTGCCCAATCAACTCCATAAAATGCCAAATTTGTGCTATCATATTATTGCATGCACGGAGACGGGTATGAATATTAAAATCTTCATATAACGGGTGTTTTTTTAGAGGTATAGAACTTTGAAATGGAATAAAACAAACATGATTTTTTTTATTGATATGAAATTTACTTTTTTCGAAAGACAATCTTCTGGCATTATAATTTAAATATGACACACAGTCAGTTTTTCTGGATGTAACGGTGTCTCAACATACACTTGAGGATTATCATCACTCCAAATACGGCAGTTTTGTTTATTGACATATCCATTCAACCAAAAGTGAGCTTCATCACTAAACAAAATTCGCTTATGAAAATCGGGATCGTCGGCAATCTAATCTTGGGCCCATTCACCGAATCTACGCCTTGCTAGGTGATCGCGAGGCTTCAATTCTTGCACGAGTTGGATTTTGTAAGCACGCAAAGATCTTTCCGCAAAATCTTCCATAAAGTGGATGGACACATATCCAATTCCTGTGCACGATGGAGGATAGACTGATTCGGGTCTTCCTCTACGCTACGCTCTACAGCAGCAATGACTGTACGCACTGTACAACATCTCTGTGGATGCGCATTATCATTTAGAGTAAGCGTGGCTGGGTGACGCGGGTGGTAGGATTATGTTGACCGTAAAATGGACGTAATGCGCGATACGTATTTCGAACAGAACCATGATTTTCAAAATAAATTTGCACAGTTTGGAAACGTTGTTCAGGCGTCAGTCTATTAATGTTGAAATGCCAAACCAAACATAAATCACTTGATAGCTGACAAAATGGCCGCCAGTTAAAAAGTGTTGCCAACTTAAAGTTCTATACCTCTAAAAAAACACCCATTACTATACGATACCTACTATTATTCAACATTTGCTTTATACTTTGTTCATTTTGATTATATACTGATTTCAACGACATCTTTTTAATCATTTCTTTCGTTGGTTTAAAGGAGACACAGTCTCCGTGTTCTTTTATATGTAGAAAAATATTGTAATATAGGATTGTTATGGAAAGCTTTAATCTCACTTCTGATGTAGGAAGGTAGTTACTTAATAATGTGTAATGTAGGGTTATTACGTAAAAGACTTTTGGAATAGAACAGAATAATTTTTATTCAATATAGTAACTATTACCACTGGTTCGAATAAAAACCTCTGTCCTGGGAAGAACCAGCAAGAAACCCAGCGGGACATTTCTTTTAAATAGAATTAATTTACAATATATTACTTCATACAATCATGAAATACACAGATTACATTGATAAGAACAGAACTTATCATCTGTAAATTTTACTGAGACTAATTTAATAGCTGAGGATAATAATTAATTCGTTTCCACGAATTAATTATCCGAAGAGTCGAGGTTGAGCTAGTAGTGGTGTACAACAAGTGTACCAAGTCACGCCAGAGCCAAAACTGCCTGCTCCACCGCTGCGCGGTCACTTTATACCCGTTGCAAAACAAGCCGTGCCGAGCAGTGGGGCGGTGGGGGAAATCGAGTGACACACTGGGTGGCGTGATTGGTGCACGTTTTGCTTACAATCATTCGTGACCAGCTACAGAGGTGCTGCGGCGCAGGTGCGACAGCGCACGCTCCGCAATATACATTCTTTTGTTGTGATTAAAGCGGATACATGTTTGTTTAGGAACCTATTCTTTATTTTTGTTTTATTTAAGTTTTCTTGGGAGAATTTCCTCTCGCAAGAGGCATTTGACATTGGGAAACATAAGAGCATTTGCAAAATTTCCAATATTTGGATATTTTGGAGCTCCATTTGCATCACGCATTTTCCCAATAGCTCCCCAGAATTTGTCCACACTTAAAATTGTATTGATGCTACTCCTATCAGATTCCCACAAATCGCTTACACTTTTGTCGAATTTCATTTGTCGAAATTCGTCATCAACTTTTTGAAGACTATTTCCATCTACTCTTTTGGAAAATTTATTTGCAATGTTTATTGTTGATACAAAATCTTTGTAAACAACATTTTATGGGCCTAGAAATTGTAAGTCTTTAAAAACATTGCTCAGTAGCAAACGTTTTTTAATTGATTACAGAGTTCAATTAAAATTGTTTGCATTCTTTGAAGGAAAGATTAAACTCCAGGTTTTAAACTTACATCTGCAGATAGATGATCAATTTCTTCACTAATGTTCACACCTTAATATAATTCCTTTACAGGTAAAAAGTTCACCTTAAATTTTGGATCTATACAAAAAGTATCTGTGGTTTTCAAATAATATATACCTTGTCATTCAAACTATTACATAGAAATTTAGCTGAAATAGTCCTGTCATCCAGAAACTGTGACTGAAAAAAAAGTTTGGGGGCATTCCGTTGCTACAAAACTCTTTTAACACATGCACGCAAACATAGCCAGCTAATTTCGTAATATTTTATGCTTTCGGTGTTCATAAAATCTTGGAATTGAGCAAATTCGCTTTGCTTTTTACTACTATGTGCAAAATATCCATAAACCTCTTGCACTATTTGTTTAATAGCCCTTGGTATAGAGTTTTTGCTGGCGTGAGATACCCAGTAGAGTAGCAGTAGAATGACAAACACACTTAACGAATATGGAATAACATGTCTTATTTTGACAATAATAAATAAATAAATAAATGAAATAAAATCTCTTTATTTCCGACAAACATCCATAATTGTTAGTAGGTACAAGGAAGTTATAGCTATGTTAGTAATAATTAAGTGCAGACACGAATAATTAGTTTAAGTACAAACCAGGCCTACCCGAGGCACTAGGTTTATGCACATGCATATTTACCCAGTGTTCCATAATAGGACAATCTGGTTTGCCATTAATAGCCCTCAGTATGGTGTTGGAGCTACCACGTATTCTGCGCATGAACGAGGCTACACGTTTGCGCAACACCGTTTCGAAATTATCAGCGCGCGCTTGCGCATACACGCCCGATGCGCTGCAAAATCGCGGCATACCCAACATCACCCTGAAGGCATTATTATACTGTACTCGGAGTGCACTGAAAGCCCCCCGCGTATAATCAACCCACAGATTACACGTGTACATTGTTTAACAGAAGGCTTTAAACAATGTTATTTTAACTTCTGTGGTACATCGTGAAAATCTGCGGGCTAACATATTGCAGCGGACTGCCAACGCTCTCCTTTTAGGTACACTGGCGGAA